GATAAAGTGGAAATGAATGAAAGAGAGATGAAATCTTTGAAAAATGTTTCAAAACACCTTGTTTAGGGGTTTGGAGTTGAAGGAAAGAGGAGAGGGGAGAAGGAAACAAGTTTGGGGAAAGTTCGGCATGAATCCGGGTAGGATCGAAACTGAGCGGCTTCACCAAAATAGGCATAACTTTTTTCAAAGTTGGACTTTTGATGCAAGGATGCCACCATTGGAAATCTTATTTCCGGGGCTTCAATTTGGACACAAGAAGGTCCTAAAAAGGAGTCCAGATGAACGAGATATGCCCGTTGGAAGTTGGACCTACAGAGCAGATTTTCTCTGCCGGCCACTAGTGAAGGGTACCGGCCATGGATGACGCAATGCCGGCCACCAGTGATGGCCTGCCGGCCAACAATGTTAAAAATCAGATTTTTTGTAGATCTTTTACCTCCAACTGTTATGCATAAGTCCCCAACTCAGATATTTCGACCAAAAGCTTTGAGTTGCTATATATGAGGCAAAATATCTCATATTCAAGAGGAGAACTTCTTGAGCAAGTTTGGGAGCCTCTCTCTCTAAAAAGTCCTCTCTCTCTAGAATTTTCATACCAAAATCTCTGCTTTAGAGAGAAATTCGCATTAGGATTAATTTGATTAGCATAATATAATTTTGCCACAAAAATCTAAATTAAATAGTGACAATATTACACAAGTCGCAAGATCGAAAATCCGCTATGCTCGTAATCATCTCTTGCGCCACAGGTGACAATTATCCAAAATTTAATTTAATTTAATTTATGCGCAAATTATTAGTTTTCGAGAGTTAATCTACAAAGATTTCTCTCAACCGAATAACCTCCCACTGACTATGGCATGTCTAAAAGTATGATAAAAAATTTTAATTCCATACAATAACATCATAATGTAGATTCACAATCAACTCGTGCTATGCTACAATTAATAATGAAATTTAAACAAATAAAAACTAAGCATGCTTCTCTAATCACAACATATTACAAACTCTAGGCAAAAAATAACAATATGCTGTATTTAATATTCAAATTATGTCATAACAGAAACTATATCATTTCTGAAATTTTCTGGTATTTTCTGGAATTTTAAATAACTAAGAAACACACATAAAATTAGAAATAAATATTCCAGAATCTGGTAAAATGCAATAACCATACCAGTAAATAGTAAACTACAACAGTAGTCTACAATAAAAAATTCTGCCCCAGAAACTTAATCATGCAACACCAGATGCATTTTAAAGTAGAAATAATGAATTACTATTTCAGGAAAAATATTTTTTATTTTCATAAAATTTTGAAAATTTTACAGAAGATAGAAATTTTAATTCTGAGTCTAACAGTACTAACCACGCTTAAAACATAGCTATAACGAATTACTTATGACCATTTAACGCAATTCTGGATTTAAAAAAAACAAACAAACCCTTAACATCAACAGTCAAGCCGGCATAGAAAAAACGGCGCGGCTCAGAGAGCGGCTCAGCACGCAGCTCAGCGCACGGCGTGCGTGCGTGCGTGGCGCGGACGGCGCGCACGTAGATAGCGCCGCTGACGCGCGTGTGATGGAGCGTGGAGGCGTGTCAGAAGCGGGTCTGGCGCGTGTCAGGGCGTGGAAGTGCGTGGAAGCTGCTCACGGCATCAGGTGGCGCGTGAGGCCCACGCGCCGCCTTCCAGGGTTTTTTGTTTGGTCCAATTTCGGTACTACCAGACTCCATTTTCCAAAATAAAAACATTTATGGCATTAAAAAAGACATTTAATGAACATAAAAATGAGGTATTTTACGCTCTTAATCTAATGAGAGTGGACATCTTCCTCCTTTATTAATATTCATGCATATATCATGTATATATATTTATATAAAAATATACACATATTTTAAAGCATAAAAATAAGCACGAAAATACCCATATTGGCTCTGATACCAATGTAAATCAAAGCATAAAACGCAGTGGATGAAAAATTTCATAGTCATACCTTCTAGTAGAGCCTGAAGCGAAGAATCTCATGGGTAAATCACGTGCTTCCAGGATGTGAACAACCAACCCAGCAGTGGAGTGATACTACAAAATGAGTATCACCCACACAAGTCACAGTCCAAAAGCTGGATCGTTCTCATATGGGAGAGAGTTAGAGAGAGAGAGAGTCTAGGAAAAAAGGTTATGGGTAAAAACCACATAACGTATCTGATATCGATATATTATTCCCATCATATCAGATGTATATAAACAAATATATAACAACTAATATCTATCTATCCATCTATATATATCTATTGATATGATAGATATAGATATCTTGAATAGTTATCCAAATAAGTTTTGAATTCAAATTCAAACTTACATGGATAAGGTTCAAAAGGTTCAACGGGTCATGCCACATGGGCGCCCAATTTCTAACAATATCTTTTCATTAATTCACTCAATTTGAATGTGCTTAATCCCATTCAAAAAATTAATTCACGTTTTTATCATATCTTTTCATTAATGCACATTTTTCTCTTTTCTCTTGTTGGGTTTTTTTACTTTTCTGTTAAATTTCTTTACCCAACTATAAAATGCAATCTCTGCTTTCCCTCCTCTCTCTCTCTCTCTCTTTCTCTTTCTCTCTCTCTCTCTCTCTCTCTCTCTCAATACATTCTCTTTCTTCAATTTCTCTTCAAAAATTATTTTTGTCTTGCCTTATTTACGCATTTATTTGATTTCTTTCTCAATTTCTTTTGGCCCACTTGAGGCCATACCCTACTACTTCTAAACTACTCCTCTTCAACTGTTTGGCTTTTGGGTTTTGGTGGGTTTGTACTATTTCAATTCTACATTGGTCTATCTATGCTTATTGAGTCTCTATTGGTTCCAAAAGAGGTTATTTCTTTGCTTCTCTGGGTTCTCAACGAACAAGATCAAGGGGACTAGGTTTAGATCACTGAAAAGGGCAAGTACTTTCCTCTTTTAATCACTTTTATTTATGGGTAAATTACACTGACACCTCCTGAAATTTATGTTTATTACAGTTCCCCCCTCACTTTTTGGAAATTACATCTTCCTCCCTGAGGTTTAAAGTTCTATTACAGATTCCCTCCTCTGCAATTTAATTTTTTTAAAATACCAAATTTGCCCTTACTTGGTAAATTACGTGGACACCTCTCACAATTTAGAAATTACAATCCCCTCCCTAAGGTTTAAAGTAGCATTATCAATTGCCCCCTCGGTTAGTATTAGTTGGAAAAAAAATTAATTCAAAAAAAAAAAATTGTTCGTAAAATTTTTAAATTTTTGTTTAAAAACCAACGTAAACTCATTTTTTGAATTTATGTTGTTTTCTCAAATTTACAAACTGAGACAACCATTTATAAAAAAATATTTTTCTACAAAAATAAAAAATAATTATCATTTTTATATAATTTTTATCTTTCGAGTGGTTAGAAATAATTTTTTACAAATTAAATTGAAACAACCATATGTATTTATATAATCTGCCCAAAAGTTAAAATCATAATTATTTTTTACCCTTAAATGATAATTATTTTTTATTTTTTATTTCTTATCCAAATTAATTTTTAATTTTTTTAAAAAAATTTCTAGAAATCAAACCATACATAGCTTAATAATCTTTTGATAAGTCATTTCTTACGTTGGTAACTTATTTAATTATTTGTTAATTTTACGATATTTTTACCATCTGAGGCTTGTTTGGTAACCGTTTCGTTTTCATTTTTCAATTTATATTTACAAAAATTTAAAAAACCGTCATAAAAACTTGTTTGATAATTTTTTTAGTTTATAAATTGTTGTCTCAACTTGTAAATTTGAGGGAGAAAACGTAAATTCAAAAAATGAGTTTACGTTGGTTTTTAAACAGAAATTTAAAAATTTTACTAACAAATTTTTTTTTCAAATAATTTTTTTTCCAATTAATTTGTTTTCAATGAATTTTTTTCCAACTAATACTAACCAATGGGGCAATTGGTAATGCTACTTTAAACCTTATGGAGGAGATTGTAATTTCTAAAATGTGAGGGGTGTCAATGTAATTTACCCAATGAGGGCAAAATTGGTATTTAAAAAAATTAAATTGCTGAGGGGGAATCTGTAATGAAACTTTAAACCTCGGGGAGGGAGATGTTATTTCCAAAAGGTGAGGGGGAATTGTAATAAATATAAACCTCAGGGGATGTCAGTGTAATTTACCCTTTATTTATTATTATTGGATTTACATTTCACTTTTATGTTCTTTTCATAGGATCATATGCAATGTTTTGTTAGATTTTATTCCCATTTTTGTAGATTGTGATTCATGATAAGAAAATTGGAGATTTACGGGTTGTGTTTGTTTTTCTCAAAAAGTTGAAATTGCTGTGATTTCTTATTTGTATTGCCTGGTTGAAATTGGGTTTTCTGTGATTTGTTAATGGCTGAAAGAGTAGAAAATAGTCTGCCAAGGATCACTGTAAAAAACAGATTGGTGATTTATGGGTTGTGATTTTTTTTTCTTCCACAATGTTGAAATTAATGTGTAATTTCTTATTTGTTGGGATTACATGAATTTGGGTTTTTTTTGATTTGTTAATTGCTGAAATAGTAGAAAATAGTTTGTTAAGGATCACTGTTCTTTTTCATGGGATTGTCAACTTCAGTGTACTTGAATATCTTGAGATTTTATCCTCGTACATTTGTCAATTTTATTTGCTCGTTAATATATTGTTCAAAACAGGCTCAGAATCATTTTCTCCCCCTTAAAATTTGTCAGGTAGTTTTACATCAATCTTTCTAGGTTTGAGTTGTTGAATCGGGATGAGGATGCAATAGCTTTTTATGCACAAAAACTATTTGTAAATATGAAATATCGCATCTGAAACTGAAGGAAAAATCTAGTGTTTTTGGACATCAAGATTGTAAGGTAGCTCTGTTGTCATGTTCCCAAATGCTTTTGATTGATTTGTGGAGTTTTGGGTGCAATGATAAAACAATATTCTTGTGGGATTTGTGCAGTTTTTTGGGTTATTTGGTTGGAGCATAATGCTAAGTTTTTTGAGGATTTGATTGAAGAGGTGGACTATTTATGGGAGAAAATTGTTGCCTGTCATCTTCTTGGGTTTCAGTCTTCACTCCCTTTAGTGGAATTTCACTCTTTTTTTTTCTTTTTCTTTTTTTGTTTAGTGTGTGTGCGCGCGCGCACCTCTAGAGAAATGTGGGGAGTGTGATTTTGTAGTGCGAGAATTTGGTTGTCTTTATTTTTGTTTTCTTTTCTCAGACTCATCTTTGTTCCCCCGTTTGTCTTACACTCATCTTCTTTTCTAATAATATTTCTTCTTCTTCTTCTTCTTCTTCTTCTTCTGTTGCTGATCATTAAAAAATCAAGATATTTATTTATGAAGAAATTAACATGTTTCTGGCACCCAGGTGACAATGGTTTAACTTTGCATTGCAGTCCAAGAACTAAGCGAGGGGAACGTAATTTTTGTTTTGTTTTGTTGTGTCTAAGTCACTGAAAATGTCATCTGGGAGCTTGAATTCGGAATTATCAAAGAAAACATCATTTCTGGGCCTAAAACTTTGGGTTGTAATCGGTATATGTGTTGGTGCATTCATAATTTTGATACTCTGTATCTTATCTTTGTGGGTCTCACTTCGAAGAAAATCTAGAAGAACACTAGACAAGTATCCCCTTTCTCAAATACCCAATGTCTCGAAAGATATCAAGGTTGACAAAGTTGGAGGTCAAAATCATCGTGATAATCCAGAGAGTTTATTCCTGTCAGTTCATGATAAATCAAGTGATAAAAATTCAGAGAAAATGTCTGTTCATTTGGGTATGCACAAATCAAGTGATGCTGATAATATCAGCCAATGTAGCTCTATGTTTCATCATGAGAGACGTAGTTCACAATCAGGGGAAGAGGGAAATTCCGGTACTATTCGGAAGCAGTCTTCACTACTATATGGGCTTCCAATGGCCTCTCCTTTAATTGGATTGCCAGAAGTCTCGCATCTTGGGTGGGGTCACTGGTTTACTCTTCGAGATCTTCAACTTGCAACAAATCGATTCTCACCAGAGAATGTGCTTGGGGAAGGTGGATATGGGGTTGTTTACAAGGGCATACTAGTCAATGGGACTGAGGTCGCGGTCAAGAAGCTTCTTAACAATTTGTAAGGATGCTTCAAAGACTTTCAATGTTTGGATATCCATTTCTTAATTTTTGTATTTATTTTTGTGTTGAAAATTGTTTTATAATTGTACAACAAATTTGCTTTACAGGGGGCAGGCTGAGAAAGAATTTAGGGTTGAGGTGGAGGCTATAGGCCATGTTCGGCATAAGAATCTTGTGCGGCTCCTTGGCTATTGCATAGAAGGAGTTCATAGGTAGATTTATTTTCCTTTTGTTGATCTGATTATAATTTTTAGGTTTAATTACACCAAGAGCCTCTCAACTATTAGCAAATATCAACTTACCCCCCTCATTCATGAACCCGTACATTCTGAAAACTAAATATATATATATATATATCACTTTTGCCCCCTTTATACCACTTTTAGAAGGGGGGCATTTGCACCATTTTTATAGTTGAGGGGATCAATATGTATGGGTTCATAGATGAGGGGGATAAGATGATATTGGCCGATAGATGGGGAGTCTAGGTGTTATTAACCCTTATTTTTATTTTCGATTTCTTTTCACTTTAGGCATGTAGCTGTTTACAGTTTTCTTTCATGCTATATTAATGTAACCAACTATGCAATTCCAGCGCATATCTATTATTAGCCTTAATCCTTAAGTTTTGATTCTGATATCAAGCAGAATGCTGGTCTATGAATATGTGAATAATGGAAACATGGAACAGTGGCTTCATGGGGCTATGCAACAATGTGGTACCCTTACTTGGGAAGCCCGAATGAAGGTTCTTCTTGGTACTGCTAAGGCGTAAGTCCTTTTTTTTCTTATTCTTTTTTCATGTATTAGTTTGGCCTTTGCAGTAGCAATGTCTATACATTCAAATTGAAAATTGTTTAAATATTTGGTTCAGGCTTGCTTATTTGCACGAAGCAATAGAACCAAAAGTTGTGCACCGTGATATAAAATCTAGCAATATCTTAATTGATGACGAGTTCAATGCCAAAGTTTCTGATTTTGGATTGGCCAAGCTCTTGGATTCAGGAGAAAGTCATATAACAACTAGAGTCATGGGAACATTTGGGTAATGTGTGCATTTCTATGTTAAAGTGCCTCTTTTTAAAATTTTCAATCATTTTAAGGTACTTTCTGACCAAACACCCATTTCTGAAAACTAATAAAATTGTCCTCCCATGTGAATTACAGTTACGTGGCACCGGAATATGCTAATACTGGCATGTTAAATGAAAAGAGTGATGTTTATAGCTTTGGTGTCCTCATGCTTGAAGCAGTGACAGGAAGGGATCCTGTTGACTATGGTCGGCCTGCAAATGAGGTACCAAATTGTTTAGGTCGAGTTTGGCAATTGTATTTTTAGTTGCTTTTTTAATTTTTTTGAATCTAAAAAGGCTGCTTTTTTGTTAATGGAAAAGTTGACTATTTTAGTTTTTTTTATCCAGCTTAAGACAGTCTTTTGCTTTTTGGCTTATTTAGCCAAAAAGCAGCTTTTTTAGCCCATGGCAAACCGGGCCCAAGTATCGGCTACTAGTATTAGCTATGTTTCTTGTGAACAGCCCCCCCTCCTCTTCCAAGGGTGTGGGGAGCTTCTTTGAATATTGAACATACTGTATTGCAAGTACTTTCCAATAACAAGCACTTCATATTTTCATGGCAGGTTAATCTTGTTGAGTGGCTTAAAATGATGGTAGGGAATAGAAGAGCTGAGGAAGTTGTTGATCCAAACATTGAAGTTCAACCCACAACACGTGCTCTAAAACGTGCCCTTCTGGTTGCAGTTAGGTGTGTTGATCCTGACTCAGAGAAACGACCCAAAATGAGTCAGGTTGTTCGAATGCTCGAAGCTGATGAATTTCCTTATCGCGAGGTGGTGATTATTTTCTGACATAGAAATAATAAGTTATTTACTTTGCTCCTTGCTATGATTTTTCTTATTGGCATTTTGGTAAATTGTTGCCCCCTCCCCTAAAATTAAAAAAAAAAAAAGTAGAAAATATATACAAGTGGAAGCAAATCAATTAATATGCATACCTTGACCCGTTTAAAGGAATCAAAGGATGTTTCATGCGCTCCTATGATACAGGAATCTCTTTGTTATAGCGGTAGAACACTGTTACAATAATTGAACAATGTTCTTGATTCCACAACCCAAGAACCTTTACACTCACCTAAATCATGCTTAAGTCCATCCTTTGCTTGCTTGCATGCTTACCTTGCATGTTGTTTGTATGCTTGCATGCACATCTTGCATTCCCATGTTGCATCCTTAGCTTGCATGCCTAGGTTGCATTGCATCTAGCATGCATGCCTTGTTCCTTGATCTAGTGATAGGAATTGGGCTTTGGATTGTTGGTTTGCATTGCATTTAACATTAAAATGTGCACACTTGGTCCTTCGGGCCATCACGCATGGAAATGCGCGATTGATGGTCCGAGAACCAAGGAGCGTATCCCTTTGAGTCATTAACATGATAAGGGACATGGTTGGTGCATATATGGCTTGAATTGCATTGCCATGCAAAGTCCTGTCCTCTGCTGCTGTCAAACAGGTTCTGCAGGCATTCTCTGCCGATCGACTTCATAGAGTGCCGACCGGCAATAAACCGTCAGCCGATGGATTCATTATGTGCCGATGACCACCAGACCACTGCCGGTGACCATTCTACTCAGCCGGTGGTGTCTCCCAGTGTCCAGAGAAGCAACTCTGAGACTTTGACAGTCTTCGGAGGAGCAGAGCAGGGAAAACAGAGGCATATTGCGCATGGCAGTGAATTCCCGAGCAAGACCGAGCATGCATTGCATTGAGCTCTCTTCCCGAGGCAGTTTACTGTTTTTCCTAGCTTAGTTAGCTTGTTAACTAATTAGGTAATTTGTAATAATTAATTAGCTAGGATAGTTAATTCATTATCCGATTTGTATTATTCTTTCGGTCCCTCCGAGCGAGGGTGAATCTGTAATAAGTGTGGGTGAGTGTGTGCATGTCTTCCAACCCCCACTTCTTTCTCCCTTTTACTTACCTGCTTTGATGGTTAGTAATAGGTCATGTTTAAATTAGCATACCTTATGCTATGCATGCGTGCATCCATACATTCGTCTTGCATGCACCGGGCTCGACGCATCATGCTAACTGCATTTGTACTTCAATTCCAAATTGAATACGCGCATCAATTGATTGCATTTCACATGCCATGCTCAGGTTAGCCGAGCCCACTCTAATTGCATCCTGTGTGTGTTGCATTAGACATTTAAACATGGACCTGGATCATGCATTGCTTACTAACGAGTTTATTGTTTTGGCACGGAGTACGATGTAAGTATTTATGCTT